TCAATTGATGGCTGCACAAATGTTACTGGAAGGGCAGTCTGCCAGCGCGTACCCATTAGTTGAAAATTCACGCAGCTTCTTGTCTCCTCCGAGATCGCTGCACACTTTCACATCAGTCTTGCAGTACTTGAGATTGCTGGCAGCGCTGTTGCCGTTGTCCCAGTAAGTGCAGCATGTCTTAGGTCTGGCCTGGCCGCGAAGCGAGAATCACGCGCTCGATTGATGGCCCGGAGCACACCTGCAAAACTGAGGGGCTGCCACTTTCTAGGGCACCCTTCTCCGGCTTTAAGGGACAACACTTTCGGGGCCTCTCCCCCACTCCCTTTCACAAATACAAGGCTGGAGCGAGCCTCAGCATTCTCGGTCTCCAGGGCATCAAGTCGATTTTTCATCTGCGCCATCTCTGCTTTCAAGACCTCCACCTCCGTGCACCGAAAGGAACCAATGCCATCATAGGATTTGACAAAAAATGACAACACCTCGGCCTGGTTGGCATACGAAAGAAAACATGTGCGTCCATGTCTCACTTACCCATTACATGCTACACCGCTGATTCAATGCCTACCACTGTCTTTGTTCCTCTACTCTCTTGCCCTCTGTCACAGTTCCAGCCTGCAGCTGCAGATTTTGGGTCTGATCTGAACGCACTGCGGCACTGACGGTAGCACAAAGCACGACCACGAGGAATCGCAACGCCATTGCAGTTGGCAAAGAAAAGGATCTGCCAGACAGATGCGAGCTTGATCACTGCAAATGGCTTCAAGCCAGCCAACCCGTGAATGTGATTAAAACATTCAAACCATCGTATCCATCAACAGTTGGGTGGCCCGAACACAGAGCAATCAGGGCATGTCACGTTTGTTGCCCTGGAAAAGGATTGCAATGATAAATCATGCTCGCAGACACGACGATCCACATTTTGGGAACGCTGATAGGGGGTTGATCTATATTCCGTTCGGCACCCAAACGATCAAGGGTAACTTCTCCAATTTCGTGGGAAGTATCATCTTTGTATTAATGGTTTTCCCCAATCATCATCTCATTATTGCGAACCCTGTGATCAACCCCCATTTCCTGACTCACGAACGCCAGCAACTCAGGACTGCGTGCGAGTCTTCCGAGGAAATCTGCTCGGCAAAGCACTAAGACGAAATCAAGTGCCATGCCGAGAAGAGTCAGCGATCTGTGTCAAAACCTCGCCGGCCTCTCCAAACGAATGCAAGTTTACATGAAAGCGCACCGAGAGGCCTATTCCCACATCCTCCCTGGCCCCGGAACACTAGCCCAATGGCAAAGGCCCCCTTTTCCTTCCGCAAAGTGAACACGTGGGGCCCCCCAGTGTTCGGGATCTTTGCCTGTTCTTGGGGTGGATCTTTTTTTCCTGTAGCTTTCGGAACCACCCACTCCTCAGGTTGTTGTGTTTTCTTTTTTTTCCGGTTGAAAACCGAAGGGGAACCCAGTTTTTCGCAAAGTGTAGAACATGTGGGCTCCATTTTTCGTGTGGGCACCCTTTTCAGGTGGGCTTTTTCGGGAAAAGGGAAAGAAACCGACGCGAAACCGAGGGTCCCTCTCGCTCGCTCACATCTGAGGTGCGGAGATGCCCAGAGCTTGTGCAGAAAGGGCGAGGCTTCCAGAAATCGCCTTCGAGCCGCTCTCGGTTTCTTGGCGGGGGAAACCCCCCTCCAAATGCCGGGTGTTCGGCATCAGTTTGTCTAGGCCCCTAAAATTCTGATGCTCCTCCCGAAAGAGTAGCCTCAAAAAGATACACGCCGGAATAAGAGCTGACCGCGATCGATCAATCCTAGCGGCTTTTGAAGGCATGTGTCAGGGTGTTGTCCGATGCGCCAGAAACATTGTTCCAATGGGGCCACTCAACCAGCAAGACGAGGATCCATCTACGAGAAGGCAACTTGGCTGTCTTTACGACAACCTGGAACGCTGAGATAGGAATCTGCGATATCTTGATTGCAGGAAATTGCGATGGCCGCTATCTCGTCATAACCCTTCACACGTTCATCATCATCAATATCACTGCCACAATATATATAGTTGACTTCCCATTGGCCGATATTCGCACATCCTTCACACTCACGCAAACGTATGTATAGAGGCTGGAAGCTTCAATGTTCCAGTGAAACTGCTTGCGTATGATCATATTCTCAATTGGTACGTCACGAAACACAGTGGGGACCCCCAACTTTGTGTATGTTCTCAAAACACCCGGAAACAAACGGCGCCCTTCCAAAACAAATCGTTGCCCTCCGCAAAGACTAGGGATTCAATTCCCCAAGCCACCAATCCAAACCACCAATTCATGGATAACCTGACGCCCAAGTCCTTCCCGGCTCTTGAAGAAAAATGGCTGTGGGTCAACAATGCGTACCCAAAAAGGAACCCTGGCAAATGGAACAAAGGACTAAAACCTGTGGGTCCCTGGTGGTTTAATTTTGACCCACACCCAAATCATCGGCCGGGCTGCTGCGCATCCGTGGACATCAGGTTCAGTGTATGGCCAACTGACGGCCTGGCTGTCCAGAAAGAGTTGGGCTTGCATTTTGGTGTGAGGCGCGAAGAAAACGAACCAACCGAAAGCGAACCAACCGGTAGACACGAAGATAACGAACCAACCGGTAGACACGAAGAAAACGAACCAACCGGTAGACACAAAGAAAACAAACCAACCGGTAGACTCTACGAAGAAAACAAACCAACCGGTAGACACGACGAAAACGAACCAGCCGGTAGATACGAAGAAAACGAACCAACCGGCAGACACAAAGAAAACAAACCAACCAGTAACCACGACGAAAACGAACCAACCGGTAGACACGAAGAAAGCGAACCAACCGGTAGACAAGCAGAAAACGAACCAACCGGTAGATACGAAGAAAACGAACCAACCGGCAGACACGAAGAAAACGAACCAACCAGTAAACACGACGAAAACAAACCAACCGGCAGCACCAACCGGTAGACACGAAGAAAACGAAGCAACCGGTAGACACGAAGAAAACGAACCAACCGGTAGACACGAAGAAAACGAACCAGCCGCTAGACACGAAGAAAACGAACCAACCGGTAGACACGAAGAAAACGAACCAACCGGTAGACACGAAGAAAACAAACCAACCGGTAGATAAGGGCTTAGTTGAGGAACAAAAGCAATGCACTGGTAGAATATTCTTGCAACCTAGCATGTGTGGGTGAGCTTGTTTTACACATGCCGCGTGTCTAAGGAGCCACCAAATGCTCACACCCCGATATTGAGGGAAATATAACTGTCCTTCATCGCGGGATGGTGAGCCAGGATGAACTAACAAAGTTAAAGCGACTTTCGCTTTGTGCAGTTCGCGCTTCATCCTACATAGAACTCCAGAATCGGAAGCCCGCTATAATTAGATGTTGCCAATAAATTGCGGTGGCGCCCAAAAACTTGAGTAAGGTAGTCGTTCATTGACAACACTAACACAGCATACATTGAGCGCATCATGACACAACTAACTATGCAAATTAATCAACACAGACATGAACACTGTGTATACGTTTGCGTATACGATTAAACATCAAACAAAAGCAAGACAGCATGACAGTCTGCATGTGTACGCACGCAAATGCACTGTACATGCATGTATAAGTGCAATAGCAGGTGGGGATGATAGCCAGCTACAGTGCGTGTTAGCCTGTCCGTGATAGCGTTCACTCTGCCATTCAAAGGGTGCAGGCTCCTATGAATGAGATACGTCACGGAATGCTCATGACGTATGCTCAAAGTCTGAAACACATGTCCTGAAAACAGCGAAGAGTGAACGATGCGTTGTCCCGAACTTACCTCGATGTCAGGGTTTTACTTGCCATGCACTGCCATTCCGGTTGAGGAACCATTCCGCCGCGCATCCAACATATTCACGCGCTTTTGCCCCCCTGCCTAATATACTTCCTTGCGCCGAGAACTGGAGCTGTCGCTTAATCTGGCCCTTGTGTCTCTACAACATTGTCAACATCAATGGCTCACCTTGAATCCATTCCATGAATATTAGCGCTTGTCACCTGGGCATTTCTAAACAATAAACCTCTTCTGTGCCATTCCATGTGAGCGGCGGACCCATGCAAAACAATCACTATGGACCGCTTGCGCCATACCTTCCATTACACTTACGCGGCGCCACCCGCTCCTTGCTCGGCAGGCAACCTTGCGCGGCGAAAGAACCAGCAAGCGTCACGGCAGCAAGCAGTGCTTCTGTTTGCGTCAGTCTGCAATGGAGCCTGGCGCAAACAAAACGAGCTGCTTCGAGAGTTCTCTGAGGCACTTGGTGCGGAACGATTTGATGCGATGTGAGGCACAGATCGACTTCGAAGCCTGAGATCGGTGCAAGAAAAAAGGTTGCGGGCCTTCGTTCGCATGGGTTTCAGGCTGATGTAAAAGTACTTGTGCTCGATTTTGCCCTGGTTCGCACCGCTTTTGGGCTGTGGAAGAAGGAAAGACGGGGCAGAAAGAAAGACCGTGCGAGGTTGCACTGGGCAGTACCGGAAGGCAACGGCACAAACTGGCTCGGACGTGGAAACACTTGAGCAGGACCATGGGAAGACTTTGCAACATGCAAATCAAGAGCTTCCGCAAAAACTTACGCGTCCAAAATCTGCCCACGTGCTTCCGCAAGCTTCCGCGCTGCTGAGTTTTGCTGCGAGGGTTTTGCTCGCGCATGTTGGGAATCTGGCAATATCTACCCAAAAGACCTGGAAACAAGAATCGGCTGTACCTTTTGGCACCTTGACTTATGGGGCAAAACTGGAAAACCAAAAGGTCAAACAGGACAAGGTGAGTCGAAGCCAGGTGGCTTGATTCTCCAATCCACGCCAAACCACCCGGCCTCACTTTGGGATCCACTCGCAGAGCTTTCCTCAGCAAAATGTCGCGGTGTCGGCCAGCTGTAGGAGATATGAAAGAATCTACGCAAAGTTTTGGATTACTTGGGATTGCCACATCAGGCCCGTCAACAGGCCCGTCAACATCCAGCTTGGAAATGAAAGTGGGATTGCCACAGTGCTCGCGAGCAGCAAACTGGCACTTCCCCATTGCTGGCCTGTCCGTTTTCTGATCCCCTGCTAAACCCAACAACTAAAAAACAGCAGACAACTTAAAGTTCGATGGAAACCCAGCCACTAAACCCCTCCAAAAACCAAAAAACAGTGAAGTTGAACCGGACGATTCGCTGAGAACCACTCAGATTCCGAGGCTCTGAAAGACAGCCACGATCACCTTGGCGCGAAGCCGCTGCCCCACGTGGTAGGTGATGTTCATTTGCCAGTGGTTGGCAATGGCGGAGGCACATTGCCTGCAACATCCCAGGAAAATAATGGTAGGGCATGAACCCCACCCAACTGAAATTAACTTGACTGAAGCGGAGAGCACAGCTACCAGCAATAGTACTACTCTTACCAGCTACCAAGTACTAGCAGCAGCAGCTGGCAATGGCACCCCTCAAACATTCGATCAGCGCATGGGCAATGAATCTTGGGCTTGTCGACAAGCCTCAGCCATTTTCCCGAATTTGCGAACTCAAGTTGGACACGCAGACTGATCGAAAGTTATCCTGACTTCTGAGAAGCTGAAGGGGAATTCACCTCTTTTTGCTTCCCATGAGCAAGCCTTAACACAGTCGGCCCCAACAAGACCTAGTAGACCATACACAATTCTAAAG